CAATACTTTAGGTTCCTCATCTCCTATTGTAGCTCCTAAAAAGTTGGTATATGTTTGTTATTTTATTTATTTAATATAATATATATAATTATTTATGCTCATTTTTTTTTAATCAAATAGATCAAAATTAAAAGATATATTTTCTAGAACAAAAAATTCGTCATTTGAAGACTTAAAGTAAGATTTTATCTTTTATATACAAGTGATATACGTATTAACATTAACTAACTTTTAATATAAAATTTCAATAGAAATTGGAATAGATTTTTATCGACTAATTCAGGTACCTATTAATTATTATTGTTGTAGTCGTTGTTGTTTATCTTTTTATATATAGAAATATAGAAAATTTTTTTAAATCTTATTTTTTAAAAGAGGAAATGTCAAACTCGATGCAATTTATGTTTAATGATTTAAAATTAAGGACTTTTCAAGGTAAAGTTTTAAAAAATAAAAAATTCAAAAAATCCTTCTGATCATTTCTCTAATGTTTTACAAGATCATATATTAAATCTGGAAGCATCTGTTGTTTGTGCAAGTGACACAACAAAAAAAGTTCTCGCTTGTCTTGGTTGTGTTCAACGTGAGGTAAAGCATTCATTATATATATATATATTACTTGTATAGTAATTTATTTGTTTACTTTAATTAATTAATTTGTTTAATAGAGAAAACGTTCACAACGTAAAAAAGAAAACAAGAAAAATAGTAATAGTAATAGTAATAATAATAATAATAATAATAATAATAATAATAATAATAATAATAATAGCGATACCTCTAATTTAAATTTCACGCAACAACCATCAACAGATGATAATAATGAGTTTACGGATTTAGATGATGAAAAAATGATGCAATTGGAACAAAATAAAATTCTTTTATTTAATTGTAATGAAATTGTTGATTTCAATAGTGGTGATATTATTTTACCAACAAGAATAACTTGTTATTGTAGACATCATAATGAAAAAGTTGGATTTCGGTAATTATTTTTCATAAAAATTATTATTATATTATTTTATTTTTTTAATTTAACTAATAATGACAATAATGACAACAACAACATTACTATTTCTTGATAAAATAAATTAGAATTTGTTTTAGCATAAAAGATCATACAAATAATATTATTGCAACAGGAATGTCACCTCCTATCATGATAACTGATGATCATAAATCATCTAAAATAAAAAATGGAATGGCAAAAAAACGTTTAAGAACTGAACATGGTCATAGTAATACAAATAATTCATCCAAAAAAATTTTAAACGATAGACAACACCATAAACCTTCCTCTCCACTTCCTTCTTCCACCTCATCTCCTTCTAGTAACGTTTATAGGAACAACAACAACAGTAATAATTTAATGATGAGCATCTCTCCAGCTGAAATTCAACCAGATTCTTCACTGTTAAATGACTCAAAAGACACTTCATCATCTTTAACTTCATCTCCTCAATTATCAAAAAATAATATACAACAACAAACTCCTT